CAGGTAAGCTGCTGCTCCAGCCAGGCTCCCTCTTCTCTTGCCAACTCATGTCTTGGGGGTCCTTGGGACGTTGCCCTGCTTGGAGGTTCATGGTACTTCCTGACCGGGTTTAGGGTTTAGGGTTTAGGGTTTCGGGTGCAGAATAACCCATTTATGAGCCCCTCAAGTGCCCGAATATGGTTATACGTACACTTACAAGTACAGTGATAATTGGTTAAGAAGTACCATGAACCTCCCAGTGTATACGAACAGTCCTTGATAGGGACTCTAATTGGGGCTACTATTAGCCCTATTAAGGACTGTTAGTATAAGGGGGAACATCCCCAGGTCTACCCTAAACCCTAAACCCTGAACCCTAAACCCTAAACCCTAAACCCTAAACCCTAAACCCTAAACCTAGGATCCAGGCTTTTCTTCGTTGATTCCAGTGATGCGGGAGACAACCAGGGTTCCCGGTGCCACGAACAGTCATCAGGTCCTTGGTTTAGGGTTTAGGGTTTAGGGTGCAGAATTTAGAATTTAGGGTCGCGGGCTTAAGGTCGGGGATAAGGATCTGAGTGAGGAACCAGAGCACACGCCTCAGCTTAATTCCCCAAACCGGAGAGGGTTTGGGGCCTTGGAACCTGGAAGCCGAACCAAAGAACCTCAAAGGTTGCGGGTTTAGGGTTGAGGGTTAAGGGTTTAGGGTTTGGGGTTTAGGGTTGAGGGTTTAGGGCATTGGGAGAAACCGGATCCCAGACAAGTTCGGACGCCCTTCCAGCATCAAAGGCTGAGACCCGCTTCCTCCCCCCTACCAAAATGAGGCCCCAAATAAGGCAAAACCCTAAACCCGAAACCCTAAACCCTAAACCCTAGACGGTGCCTTCCGTGAGGGCCAGGTCTCTTGGGTGAACCTCAGTCATGACGCAGACCACTGGCAGGATCTAGCTGCAGGAAGAACGGCCTAAACCCCAAACCCTAAACCCTAAAGTCTCAAAAGCCCTAAACCCCAAACCCTAAACCCTACAGTCTTAACCTGAAAAGACATCCCGGGGAGGCTACTTCTCCACGCCGGAGGCGGGAGCAAGCCGCGTCCTTGTTCTTCAGCTCTCCCTTGATTTGGGGTTTAGGGTTTAGGGTTTAGGATTTAGGGTTTCGGGGCGTTAAGGGCTCTTTGTGGGGTTTCAGGGCTTTCAGGGCTTAGGATTTCAGACGTGGTCTCCCCACGAAGCCGAACACAAGGTAATTGAACTTGGTCGTCGTTGCGGGCAAGCAGCAGAAGGGTGCAATGTGGGCATTAGGGCCTTCAACCTCGTTAAGGGCTTAGAGTTTTGTTGTTACCCTAAACCCGAAACCCTAAACCCTACGGATGAGACCGTGAAAATGTGCGGACGGGTTCGGGAGTCCGAAATCCCCCTGAAGAAGTCCTCAGACTCCTGCGAAAAATACAAAAACTCAAACTCTAAACCAGTGAAAGAAGCGAAATCTATTTAGATAAAGTATTGGAAACAACTCAATTCAGAATCAATGTTCCTAAATAGTACCCATAATCGGATTTGGGGTATAGGGTTTAGACACTACTTGGAGGTTCATGGAGCTTAATACCCCAATTACAACTGTAATCCTAACGCAAGTAATCCCCATTCGGGCACTTACAGGGCTCATAAGTGGGTTATAAGTGGGCTATACGTACAGTTACAATTGGGTTATTAAGTCGCCCCAAACCCTAAACCCGTTATACGTACCATGAACCTCCGAGTATTTTGGTCCGGAGGATCCTGGTGCAGTGTTCCGCTGCTTCGGTGAGACCATGCGCTGCCCTGGCGGCGTCCTTCGGCCGTGAGATTTGGGGGGAGTTTAGGGTTTCGGGTTTGGGGTTTAGGGTTTGGGGGTTTAGGGTTTGAGGTTAGGGTTTGGGGTTTCGGGTTTCGGGTTTGGGGTTTAGGGTTTGGGGTTGTGGATTTAGGGTTTGGGGTTTAGGGTTTAGGGTTTAGGGTTTAGAGTGACAAGCCCTAACCCTAAACGCTAGGCCTCTGAGATTTCGGGGGGGTTAGGGTTGAGGTTTCAGGCGTAGGGCATATGGGAACAAAACAGGGTTTTAGAGTTCGGGGTCCAGGGCTCAGGGCTTAGTGTTAGGGGTTCAGGAGTTTCAGGGGTTATCAGGGGGCTTTAGGGGCTTTAGGTGCCAGGGTTTTAGGGTTTGGGGTCTATCTAGGGCTTAAGGGTTCTAGTCATTGAGTCTGAAGGTGTCCGGTGTGTTGAAAGTTTGGGGGGGGCTTCGGGTGTTTGGGGGCATCTGCGATTTCGTTGAAGGTTAGTTCGGCCTCTCAACAGTGAAAAGGTGCTGCAAACCAGAATGCTGGTGCAGCCTTTCAACCCTAAGCGCCGAGCGCCGGCTCAAAGTGCCACCCTAATGCTACACCCTAAACCCTCCTGAAAAACTGCCCTCAACTTCGTCTTTTGGGTTTAGGGCCTTGGGCTTAGGGAACCCGAAGCAACCTTTAGTGCACATTGCACGATCCCATGGCCCAGGAACCGGGCACGTGCGCCTGGGGCCGGGTGCGCCCCAAGTTTCGGGGATTTGGGTGTTTAGGGTTCAGGGTTTAGGGTTTCGGGTGCAAAGCTTTTGGGGTTTAGCGTTTTTGGGGGGAAGAGGTTCTTGAGGCGTCTGGGGTTTCATCTAGTTGGGAGGTTGACATGTGTGTTGGGGTTTTTTGATGGGGTTCAGAACAAGTTCTTGTTTTGTGCACGTGTGCGTGTGTGCGCGTTTGTTTTTCTTTCTGCGTCGGTGTTTGGGGTTTGGTTTTTGTTTTTTGGGGAGGGGCGGGAGGGGGACAGGGGTCATATAACCCCCAATGCAAAGTCCCTTGAAAACCCTTCGTACTTCTTGCCCGCAAAAAAGAGGCGCCAGCCTTACAGTACGCTTTGCCAGCGCTATTCCAACTTCCTGAGGTAGAGAGCTGCTGCTGGGAACCCCTTTGAGGCTTTTTTGTGCTTTGGGAACTGGCTCGTGTGGCCCTTTTTCGTTAGGACATGATGGTCCCTTTCGGGAGCGTCGCTGAAAGAGCCCGGCCATGAACCCAAGCTCAAACGAATCGAATAAGTCTCACAAATCTGCGGCATAGCTCAGACCTCTAGCACAACTGCAGACCCTCAGTGATACCCATGTACTACTTACCACATGGGGTACTGGATTTTGGAAGAAAGCTTTATGGGTCAAACAAGATCCCCTGTCAACCGTTCTCGGCAGGGTTCATGGTACTGGCAGTTCTCGCTTGAGTATGAAACCCTAAACCCTAAACCCGAAGCCCTAAACCCTAAACCCTAAACAATCCCAAACCCTAAACCCTAAACCCTAAACAACCCCAAACCCTAAACCCTAAACCCAATATGGAAGGACACCAGCAGCGTCACCTGCAGCTCTTGCTTGCCTGGGCTCCACCAACGGGCTGCATGGCCCAACAAATCCAGGTTTAGGGTTTAGGGTTCAGGGTTTCGGGTTTAGGGTTTAGGGTTTAGGGTTCAGAAATCATCTGGAAGATATTTTGTTTTGCTGCTGTTTCCAATTGTATCTGTCATAGTTCTTGACAACCTAGTTCAGCTTGCAAGGGTTTAGGGTTGGGATGTTCCCCTTATACAGCCTATACACCTAAGTAGCCCCTAAATACCCCCCAAATAACCCCTAAGAGTTAACTAAACTGGCCCCAAACCACCGTTTAGCTGTACATACCAAGTAGGGTTAGGAGAGCAGATTCGGATGACTGATTGTATTTGGCTCAAGGAAAATAGGCGTGCCCGTTGTGCGTCTTTCCTTGTCTTAAGTACCTTTGTTGTACTTAACTGGTTAACAGCCTCAAGCTACGTGGTCACTTTGGTAGGAACGTAGGCAAAGCCGCGCGCCGCCATAGTGCCCCCTCCATAACCGCACACCTGCCTTGAGAGTGTGCTTGAAATTGCGCGACAGGAGCCGCTGGCCCTGCCTCATTCATACTTCACATCCAGCATTGTGTCGAGCCAGAGCCAGGCTCAGCAATTGCATTCACTTCACCTGCAAGCCACCGTTGGGCTTTCCACGTGGCATTCCATATCTCGAAATCTTCGATCGTGCATGCAAAGCACTGAGCCGGAAGAGCATTACGCAACACACCTCCACATTTGGGTTCATTTCATTAAGGCCTTGCGTGAGAAACGCATCACGCGTTTGTTGATTGCTCATCCGCTAAATTGGTGGAGAAGGTTCGTGAGTAATCTTCTTGCTAATCACTACAGAGAGGTATCGTTTGACTGGCAGCTTAGGGTCCTTGTCCGTGCTTTAACGTACGCCGACGATAGGTGGGTCCCTAGATTGCCTCAATACTTTCCGTGACATCCAGGTACATCGTGTGGCTGCGCATCTCCGCTGCAGTGTCGAGGTGCTCGCCCCTCTTGCCCTGGTTGGTTCTGACTTTCGGACTTCACTTCAAACATTCCTGAACATCTTGCCTTTGTACCCTCTCCTGTGAACCCGTGCACGGTTTAGGGAGGCTAGGCCTTGTGGGTACCCTAGGCGTCTGACGAAGCATCACTGCATCACCGTGTGCTTCGCCTCGAACTGCCCAAACAGCAGGTTCAGTTCAGACTTCGATCTTCGCGTGGTTTGTGGTCTCCCTTCGGGTTGAGACTAAGCCCATCACTCCGCCAACAGCAAACCCACAGTGCCGTCGGCTTGACCACGCACTGTGAACGCAACATCGGACAAAGTCCCAATCCCTAAGAGGTTTCAGGGTCAAAGCAAAGAGAGTCGCGGGTCTTCCCCACTCTCATCCGTGTGCATTGGCTCAGACAGCCGGTTGAGTGCGTGTCGTTAGTTGAAAGACCTGCATTGCCCCAATATCCCATCTGAGGAATCCCGGCAAGGTAGTCAAGCTCAGGCACTCTGCACACATTCTTCTGGCCACTTTCTAGGCTTGTTGGGGTCGCCGCCCGAATTAGGCTTAGAGGGGTCGCCGCCCGAATCAGGCTGTGCAATTGTCTCTGGTACCATGGGTTGGAACGATTTTTTGCAGGCGTGGGAACGCGTGACCTCTGAAGAGTCCTTTGTGGAGCGTGTGACTGCTGCTTTTTCCAGGGCCACGAACTCGCCTGCGGTCAAAGGCTCGTCTGAGTTCCGTCGGAGGAAAGCTGTCCTCTTGGTGGTCATCCGTGCGCTGGTGCAGCTTCTCATCGGTACTCAGCAACAGTCTGGGGCCATACGGCTGGTCCGAACTCGAGAAAGAGAGCTCGAGGGCACGGAGGCATTGCCATATCATCCTTACGCTACGTTCGTCGAGGATACCCTGGAAGAGGTCAGAGGAGTGCTTCAGGCACCTTCGCCGGAGCCTGAGATACCGGCTCCGAGGACTCCTCCTGTCGCAGTGCGTTCCAGATCTCCGCCTCGTTCCTTGGTTGAGGGTTCTGACCAAACTCCGGTACCTCCTAGACCGCGACCGAAACATAAGGGTGATCGAACCCCTGCACCTCCTAGGGCACGACCTAAACATAAGGGTAATAGAACCCCGGTTCCTCCCAAGGCAAGTACCTTGCCCGGAACACCAGGTCCGTCACGTGCACCGGAGGCTGCAGCAGATCTTCTTGTGTATCGTCCCAAAGCAAAGGCCCGACCCGAGTCCAGACCACCGCAGGACTGGGAGTTGGACGAAAGAGAGTATCCAACCATAGCGGATTCGTTCAGGGTACAGGTTGAATTGGGACAACACTCAGATAGAGAAGCCATAAACCGGTGGACTACTGAAGAGTGGAGAGAGCATAATCAGGCGCTCTCATCTTCTTCTTCTGCCGCGCCGCGTGTTGCACCTTTGGAAGTGGTCGAAGTGCGTGAGGACATCCCTGTCCTGATTTCATTGGATTTCAGCGGGGTGCTCAACATCCACTTTCAGGACAGCCGAGATTTTTTGGACCGTTTGAACGCAGAGCGTCCGAGCCACGTGAAGCTGAAGTTTATTTGCACGAGTTACTCTGGGACAGAACGGGCCAAAGAAACGCGTCAGTCGATGGCTTCGGAGCTTCCGGGCGTGCCAGTCTACATCACTAGCTCTCCAACGGGCCGTCCTGGAAAAGGAGCCTTCATTAAGCGTTTGATGGACCGGCGGTCGGATCACTTTGCGTGTCATTTGGATGACAGATCAGACATCGTGCGGGACGTCGAGGCGTATGGTGTTCACGGTATTTTGGTATCGCCGAATACGTGGCTGACTGATCTCGTGCCCACTGTGTTGTTGTGGCTGCGGTCCCTGTAAAACGCTAAAAGAGAGCTGCTGACCTTCAGGGGAACCTGGGGTTTCTATTGCCTGGCACCATGGCGATGAGTCCCGAAACTACTGATTCCTCGCTCCAGGTGTCCACTTCCAGCACGCCGCCTACACAACAGGCGCGGGCACTCAGTGCTGTAAGGGCACAAGAAGCAAGGGTAGGAGAGAGCAGTAGTGATTCCACTCCCGTAAGAGCCGTTTCAACCGGAAGGGGAAGGTCCTCTCAACCCTATGCCTTAGCTAGTTCCCGAAATCGCTCTTCCTCCGCTAGGATGCAAGCTTTGTTGCCTCCGCCAGCTTATGCATGTGAAGTTGCAAGTCCTGCACCAGCAAGTCAACCTGTTTCGCTTGCACCGGGCGATGGGACAACCACCCCGGATGTGCACTTGCATCAGCATGTTCAGCGCATTGCCCCAGAGTTGCACCTGCATCAGAGTCGTCAGGAATTGCATCTTCATGGGGTTGATTCCCGAACACATTCTCAGGCCGTTGCTGCTGCACAGCTGGCACAAGCGCAAGCACAAAACATTCAACAGGACGCTCAGGTGTTTGCCCAGAACGTTCAGCATGAAGCTCAGGCATACGTGCAGGTTGCAAAGAGTGAGGCTCAGGCATATGTTCAGAGCGCTGTCACTTCTGCTCAACATGAAGCCATGCAGCACGCACAAGAGTATGCAGAGCGCGTTAGGGCTGAAGCTGAGAGACAGGTCCAGAGTGTTTCAGAACAAGCCGGTCAGCATCTTGCACAAGCAAACGAAACCATTGCCTCACTTCAGGCTAGGAATCGTGAGCTTGAGGAGCAGCAGGAAGAAATGATGAAGCGGATTGCGATGATCCAAGCTGAGATGCAAAGCATCAAAGCTCAACAACAGTCCCAAGCCGACACATCCCACCTTCACGCAGAGCGAGTGTCGCAGGCCTCAAGGGCTCAGGACCAAAATGGCACGGAGATCAGTGAAGCCCTCAAGGCCTTGGCTGCAAGTGTTGGTGAGACAATGAAGGAGTTGCGAGAAATCGTCAGTCCCAAAGCATCCAAGCCTAAAAGCAAAGCGAAAGGTTCGGGGCTCCGAAACGGGACACCCTCCCCTAAGCATAAGAGTCCAAAGGTCTCAGCGACTCAAGGTCAAAGATCTGCTGGTGTGGCTGCTGCGCCTGTTCCAAATCGGTTTGGATGCTTCTGCGCACCCAGGTTGCCAGTTTTCACCGGTGTTGGTTTGCCGGCTCCGTCTAGATCCAAGAAGGGTTCTTCGAGTGACAATCCCTTCAACGTCTTCTCCACTCCCAAACCTCCTTCAGTCGTGCATCCCCCAGACCCTCCGATGCACTACGACATCGGGTCCGAACACGAGGAAGGTGAGGAGGAAGAGGAGAGGGAAGATGACCCCATCATTGATGTCACCGATGCACCGGGGGAAGAAGAAGTAGACTATGAGCAGGATACTTACCACAACAAAGATCTTCGAGACCTGAAAATCCCTGCACTTCCTTCGACAGCCGCGGGATATCGAGCATGGAGGAACGGCGTTTTGACATCGTTCAGCAGCATAGACAAGAGTGGGAACGCCAGGATACTGAGATGGCTCCAGGTCGCCCTTGATCCAGCCATAGGAGACCGACAGATGCGCAATCTGCAGGTCACGTCTGACGGCCTTCCCCGCCTTGATGCATTCCTGGCTGCACAGCTTACAGATCCAAAACACCTCAAGGGAGACTACGGAGTCGCTGCCCAGGCGTTCACCGAGCGAGCACATGCGTTAGGCGTGCAGCCTTCCGGGCGTGCGCTGTTGGCAATGCTCAGCCGAAGGTTTCGGGTAGACCGGATCAGGGGGGCGACAGTCTCCCAGCAGACACTCTTAGCCATCCAGCTCGAAGGCTTCAGCCAACAACAACTGCAAGCCTTTAGAGAAAAGGTTGAGTTTTGTTTGAACGGTTTCAGTCCCGAAGCATGGCCCGCTGAGTCTACCTTGTTTAGCTGGTTATACTCCAGGCTCAAGCACTGCAGGCTTCTTTCCAGAGCAGTCGACAAGATCAAAGACTCCAATCCAGGTAGCAACAAGCGAACCTTTGCGTGGTTGTGGTCGCAGCTTGTCGAATTGCTAGATGAGCTGAGAGAAGAAGCAAACGAAGAGTCAATTCGTGACACTCTCATCAAGCCCAAAGCCAAAGCTGCTCCCGCCCCAAAGAAAGAGGAGCGTTCCCGCGATAAGCCGGACAAGCCCACTCCTGCCAATCCAGCCCCTCCGGCCAAGACCAAAGGTTCTGGGAAGGATGGGAAAGACAAGGATGGCAAGGGAAAGGGGGGTAAAGGGAATGGTAAGGGTGCAGATTCACAGAAAACACCAAACAAGCCAAAGGCGAAATCAGGCGGTAAAGGCCAGGGCTCCAAAGCTGAAGGCAAAGCCCCAAGCAAAGGAAATGCCCCCAAAGCTACCGTACCATGCCTGTTCTTCCCAAAGGGAACGTGTAACCGGGGTGAGAATTGTCCGTTTTCGCATGAGACCTCTCCCGGTAACAAGGCCCCAGGGTCAAAGACTACTGGAGCTAGCGCTACGGCAAAGAGCTCTGCCGCAGCTGTCGCCCTGCTGCTTCCCACTACGGCGCGGGGTGCCTCGGTCGATGGTTCCTCCACACCGAGCAAGACAACCTTTTGGAAGCGTTCAGGATTGAGTAGGTTCTTCCAGTTCGTTTCGGGGTGGTTTACTGTGTTCAGCAACATCTGCGCTCCTGCCTGTCCCGCCACTGTCACTCCGTTGCTTGTAGCATCTCAGCATCAGCACCCGCAACAGGGATGGTTCTACCACGAGTGGATCGCTGATAGTGGTGCAGGTAGATCCCTAGAGAGTCGTGAAGCCCTCAATGAACAAGGCATTCCTGAAGACGCATACGCACACATGGCCGAACAGGCACCCACAGTATCCTTTTCCACAGGGAATGGTGTCGTTGATTCAGGGCTCATGCTTGGCTTCGAGGGTTCCATTCTAGGAAACAATTCTGCATATCTCCTGGACAACTGCCCTAGTGTAAAATCACTTGGTGAGTTGGTAGAGACAAAGTCTATGCCGTTTGTATGGTTGCCAGGAAAGCTTCCGATGTTCCTGTCGAGTGTCGAACACGTTCAGGTCATTGAAGAATCCGCCATATGTGCCGATAGAGTTGAGGGAAATGTTCCAATCTTCAGGGAACAGGTCAGATTCGTCTCGCCTTCCACTGTTGCGATGCCTGGCTTCATGAGCGATGCTAGAAAGGCAAAGCCTCTTGCACGCACTACCATAGAGCCTTCACGGCACACCACGTATCGACCCTCGCCGCATATCACGGAGGAGTCTACCTTGCTTGAGTTGTTGCAGGATCCAGGGGTGCCGTCAAAGACCGCCTCCGGGTCTAGAGATCCTCCACCTGACTCTGATGACGAGCTGAAGTCTAGGGCAAAGTCCTCTTCAGCAAGAAAGCCAAAGGCTAAACCAAGTCCAAAGGACAAGGTCAAAGGTGCAAAAGCTCCTAAACCTGCTGAAGCAGCGAAGGCTCCGGAACCTCCTGCTCCAGTAGAACCCGAGGTCCCGCCACCTCCACTTCCTCCACCTGCCATTCCGCCAGGTTCTGGGTCGGACTCAGGAGAGGACGTAACATCAGAACGTCAGAAGCAACTCATCAAGGAGGCCTCTTCAATGGCACACAAGTTGACGCATATCCCTAAGAATCCCTACTGTGAGATATGTCAGCGAAGCCGCATGTATCGACAAAGAGTCACCAAGAAGCGTGCAGAGCCTCTCGAAGACAGAGGTGACTTGCCTCCTGCTGAACAGTTTGGCGAGAGGATTGCAACAGACTATATAATCCCTTCGAAGCGTGAGCATGCAGTCCATGTCATCAGGGATGAATATAGTGGTGCACTGCGAGCTTTTGTCTGTGCGCGCACAGCTGAGAGAGCAGCTCAGAACCTCCTTACCTTTGTAGGCGCCCGATACAAGCACCTCCCGAACGTGTTGTGTAAGGCTGATGATGCAAAGGAGTTAATAGCTGCCGTCTCACAAATAGGATGGGTGCATGAAGCGACCCTAGAAAACAGATTTCCACACAACGCCCAACTTGAGAGAGAGATAAGAACTCTCGAGGAATCGACTCGCGCGGTGCATTTGGCTGCTGGGTTCCATGTGGTTCCAGATCTGTGGCATGTGTCCGTGCAGTTTGCCGCGCAGACTTTGACAGTTGTACCGTGGCAGGGCAAAGACAAGTCGCGTTTCGAGGTTGCAACTGGTTCCCCATTCGAAGGCCCAAGGCTTCCCTTGGGACAGTTGGTGCATTACAGGATCCATGACCCCAGCCGCAGGCATAAGTTCGAAGCTACAACTGCTCCCGGACTATTTGCAGGTTGGAGGTTTGAGCACGGATTTGTGTATCGTGACGTGATCTGGGTGCTAGACTATGAAGCCGTCAAGTCCAAGTCGATTGGGTATAGGGACATGATCCCCGTGCCATATGCGGAAGTGCATGTCCCAGAGACTGAGACCTTCCCGCTAAAGGCCGCGGCGGATCTTGCTCTTCGCGAGTTCCAGGATCCCAAACTTGAGGCTATCACAGCGCTGGACATACCATTCAGCTCACTGTCCCCTGCTGATCCTCCTCGAAGGCGCGCAGAGTACATTACGCTTGAACGCATTCTTAAGTTCGGTGCCACACCAGGATGCAAAGCGTGCACTTTCGATTCCGTGAAGCATAGTCCTAAATGCCGAGCAAGATTCGATGCCCTGATAAAGGCTGATAGGGTTGCGTTGACGTCCAAGCCCCCTGAGCCAGTTCCTCCAGCTGAGCTCCCCGAAGGCGTTGGTCTCCACCCTTCGAGTGAGCCCGCTGTAGAAGGTCTTGTTGCGAAGGTCGAGCTCGGTGTGACGCAAGTCTTTGTCGATGCCAACAGGGAAAGAGTCCGCCAAAGAAAGGTGCAAACGATCATAGGCAAGGATGTGTTGTTCGAATATGCGTGTGGCGACAGT